TCTTTCCCTCCAGGATTATTGCTATTCTTCCTTAAGCAGTGCATGACTGCTTAAAAAAAGTCCCAAAGTAGAAAAAAACCCTCAACAACTCCAAATTACTGGGTATAACGTACTTAAATCGGGACTTATAATAAAAGGATTGTCAAGTCCCTCTGCAGATCCCTCCAGACTTTTTTTCTTGGGTACTGGCAAATGGACAAAATTCTCTAAATTCTTGCATGTCCTGGCATGTGTATAGCTGCCTGAGCCTGTTCCTCATCATCTCTCTACTGTATTCTTGGAAGTTCTATCTTCTTGTCAGGCAGAAACAGGAAATGGTGCCTTTGGAGGAATTTTTACCATATGTCAAGCTAGGGAAGGCAGTCAGGGGCCAGGGCTGGGGATGTGTGGGGGAAATGCTGCAGCAGGGATTTTAATTGCACAAAGTTCCCTCCCCTCCCCAGCGCTGGCATTGCCTCCCTTCCCCCACGTTACTAATGGAAAACTACAAAGAATGAGAACAGACTTCTCGAAGGCCAACAATTAAATCACCGCAGAGCCAGAAAGCAGCCCTAAGTGCCTTAAATCTTGCTGTGCATGGGAGCAACTGTCTCCTAAGAAGACCAGCTTTTTACTGCAGCAGGATAGGGGAGGAGGACAAGACACTTATTACTATTTTTCATTACATTATATAAAATAAGGTAATAATAAAACAAAAGAATGAAGGAAGATAAAGGCAGAAAATTATAGATATTTATTTGAAGATTTTGAGTAACTACTCTTTTAAGGCTTCTGTAATGGAGAACATCCTTCAAAACCCACTAATTTGTTGGTAAATGACATAATGCAAGTTGCATTTGTTCTCACCCATTACTACACTGCCAGGACTTAGGAAACCAGTAATGTTGCTATGATACAAGGAACCAGTCATCTCAGTTCTGGCTCCTTTCCATGTATTTAAAAATATCAAAAAGCTTTAGATAAAGCCAAGAGGCTGGGGAAATTCTTGTAAGGCTATGCTGCAATTCAGTGCAGCTTTTGCAAACACCGAAAGTAGGGAATGGGAAAAGATGACTAAAAATTTGTCATTCTGTGGATAGTGATGTACACAAAAATGCAGGACCAATGGCAATAAATCGGGAAGCAGGAAGAAATAAACAGCTGTTCTAAATATTCTTCAGTCCTAGGGTCCTGGGAAGCTTCTCACTGCCTGACCCACAAACTAACTAAAGCTAAATATTTTTCAAAAGCTAAAAAAAATCACTTAGGTATCTTCAGAATCCATTTCAAAACACAACACAGAAATAGCAAAAACTTACTGTGTTACACTTTGAATTAACTGAAGGGAAAGAAAGCCAAGGTTTCAAGTGCAGTGTTAAATATCAAAATTGAATCAAAGAAAAATTGCACTGCATGCAATATGTCATTACTCTTACTCTTTTACTACTGAACCTTCATGCTATGCTTTTCATCATGTAATATCAAAAGGGTATTTCCCTCTTGAAATAAGATGCTTGATATAATCTGTAGTAAACCCCTAGTTACCTACCTAGAAGAATTTAGGCACTTTGTTTTAATTTTTGGCACTGCTTAAGAGTGTGACAAGTAATGCGCAAAACATCTACCAAGCTGCTTAGGTAATTCAACATCCATGGACTTGTTGGCTCTGAGATGAAACTTAGTCATCTACCTAAACTCTGGGCTCCCTCCCTGCCGCCAGGAAAGAAACTTTGTGGCTGGACTAAAACAAAAATAATTTAAGCTTCCTCTTGCTTTGCCTACTTTCCTATAAATTGTGAATGCTTGGCTTCACTGTGGTTCAGATTTAGCAAAGGTTCTAATGACTAGATGCGCACCTACAATGCCTTTAATTTAAGAACAAATAAATAGTCTTGATATACGTGCAGTAATAGTTTACAAAAGCTTTTTCAACAAGTAAGAAAAAAGATTTGATCAGAAGCAGTATGGTAGTACACCATTGTAAATTTGTTGCTGTATTAAAATCTATAACAATTTAAAATATGGACTCAAACATGTTACTATGAAATATTGCAGGTATATTGCACTCATTCTTTCTTCTATTGATAACCTTTTGTAACCACAAGAAGATCATCTTCTGAAAATGCAGAGAAGTTGCTTTTTTTCTTCTAAAATCTTGTGAAAAATATCCATCAATTACCTTGTGGAAACAGAGTAGAACTCCTCTTTGAAAAGACATTCCTCGTCTGCCACCATTATACTTTTTACATCTTCTGCTTTTATTCCCAAATTAGATCCCCTTATTGTCAAAAGAATTCCACCACTTAGTGGTCCAGTTTTTGGCTCAATCTGTGTTTGCATGAGGGAAAGAAAAAAAATTCCACACAACAAAATTAAATACTGCAGTGACCATGTTGCTCTTCTATATTATTTAAAGCTATTTTGACTTACCCGCACTCGAAATGCAGATGTTTCTTGTAGGACCCACACAAAAACATCCTGTGTAACTCTTTAATGTTAATTGGTCATCTGTTATCTCAGAACCAATATTCATCAGCTACAGATTTCATGTCTGCACAAAATGGATTTGGCTCCTCTCACAATCCTTCTATGGAGCTTTTCCAGCATTTTTTGCTATGATTTTCTCCCTTCAGGTTCCTATCAGAACAGTACACCTTCCTAACACAGTGCTGCCCCGCACAGTGTCTTCAAGAGTTCCTGTAGTCCCCTGACCTTCCTTACTGCATCTCATGGTAGGGAGCTGCAGTACATGGGCTGATGCTAATTGAGTAATTTGGAAATAAAATGAGGACTGAGAAGGTCCTGCAGCTGCAGTGGACTCCTCAGACTGAAATATGGTCCTAACAGGCAACCGAATTCCAAATATTTGTTGGAGACTAATCTGCTCTCCTATGCAATACTTGAACAACCTCCAGCAAGACCTTTTCAGGTCTTCACCTTCGGAGGGCTGCAAGTTTGCCATCAAGAAGATCAAGGGTGCACAGTCCCAAATGCAGTAATTGGAAGCCAAACGATTACAGCTTCTGAAAGTCAGAACATTAATGTCTGCTCCATCAAAATCAGAGTTCCTTACATCTAAGCAAGTCTGAGCACAGGGACATGACTGTCACTGCCTGCTTCCTAGCCCAGCTCCAGAATAACTTGCTACATTTTCCCACTGGTTCTACTTTCTAAAACTTCTGCCTGCTAGCCATCCATTTGCACTCAACCGAAAAATAAACTAGCTGAAAAATGACTCAGCTGTTTGCGTAGATGTTTCCAAATATTTTGTTGAAATCTAAAGCTAACATAAGCTTTGCAAAACTAATATTTTAGTACTTAGTATTTAATCCACAGTAGCGTGCAAACAGTATCCCAGGTGAAAACACATTTTTTTCCCCTTCATTTTCTTTTTCTTCCCCCTTCATTTTCTTTTTCTTCCCTACTCAAATCATCTTTATCTGGGCACAGGTATCACACAAGTGTTCTTGTGCACACTTTCTGTTGAGATTCCAGGGTATTTACCTTCTTTGTCAGACTTCAATTGTTTAACTGTCATTTCTTCTTAGATATACCCTCATGCCCAACCTCACTCAGTGTACTGCAGGTCTGCCTGTACTCACACAGCACCTCTAACTGTGCAGCCTCCAGGGATTCAGGAACTCTACCAGTTTGAGCCACAGGTTTCAGAAACAGTTCCTATTGAGTGAAGTATCCCTGTTATGACTCTCAACATCTGTCACACAGTGACCGTGTTTTGCGGTAGCCTGGGATATGTTCTCATTAAACAGTGGGTCTGAGTTTCAAAGTACTGATACCACTGTTGCAGCAATTTAGATTTGCCCAGTGGAAGTATGTGTCACTCTTCTCTCAACGATTATGCCCAGAAAAACAGCATTTGGCTTGTTGCTGAAAAGATTAAGGATTTATAACTTGTTTGATTGCT